TTTACTAAAAAGCTGCTAAAAGATACCCATAGTTTCTTCAACAATTTTGAATTATCCTCTAAAATAAACTAAAAATTGGCATACAATACAAATGAAAACATAATTATGCAAATAAAATTCAAATGTAAGGTGCTCTACCTTACGTTTGAAATTGCTTTTCTAAACATAAAGCTACAGTAAATATTTTTAGCATGTACTTTACCTCTGTAATTTCAGGAAATTCATCTTCACTATCAGTTAATTTCTGACCTTTTTTCCCCACTTCTTGGGCAATTGTGATAGGGATCTCCTTTTCAAGAGGTACACGAAGATGCAGTTCTACTGAATCAAGCACTGAATATTCCTGTTCCTGCAATCTCTGGAGACAGAACTTTAGAATAAGTGGGGCAAAGAAATCTATTTGGCCTCTGTACACTGAGTTAGTTCTGGCTGGACAGACTAAGAACATACATCTTTTATTACAAAATGCTATACCACACACAATCACATTGTAAGAGCAATTACCCAAGTACAAATAATCATCCAAAACAGTTTCAACTTGGATGTGCTATTCAGTTTATGATCTTTTTAAAAACAGATTGTGTGTGTGTGTGTGTGTGTATGTGTGTGTGTGTGTGTGTGTGTGTGTGTGTTTTGCTTACATGGATGTTAAGTACAGCAGATACATGCCTAGTGCCACCGAGGCCAGAGAGGGCTTCTGATTACCTGGAACAGGGTTAGAGATGTATTGGTAGCCGCCATGTGGGTGCTGGGAACTGAACCCAAGTCCTCTGCAAAAGCATGCAGTGCTTTTCCCTGCTGCGCCCTCCCCAGCCTGTTCTACGATCTCCTTTCACCTGGTTTTGAAGCTGCAGCGCCAGTGCTTTCTGCTCTTCAATCTGCCGCAATCTTTCTCGAGCTCGAGAATCATAAACACTAGTTCTAGAAAATGAGAAGTGGCACAAACACAGATCACAATTCTAGCATCAATCACATCTCTGCAGTGCATTATGGGTATACTATATTAAATATAGAACTGATATATACAAAGTCCAAAATCCTTACACTAACTAATACCGCACCACATTCACACTTTAAGACAGAGTGAAACAACATGTCCACTTAAATTATTCTACCACTTTTCCTGAAATGATTAAATATAATTAGTGTGCTGTGTGGTGTGATGAGATAACTTCTGTGGATGTGAATGTATAGTCTTTTTTGAAAAACATGCTTCTTAAGAAGGGTAAAAAGTGGGGCTGGAGATGGCTCAGTGATTAAGAGCACTGGCTGCTCTTGCAGAGGACCCATATTTGATTCTCAGCACCACATGGTAGCTAACAATTGCCCATAATTCCAGTTCCAGGAGATCTGATGTCCTCTTTCTGATCTTCATGGGCACTGTATGACATGGGTGCACTTACACACATGTAGGCAATATACTCATAACACATAAAATAAAAATAATATATATTTTTTAAAAAGGAGAGTAAAAGTAAAGCTTCATTCTAAAAACCCAAAAATGGAATTGAACTTCAGAAAAGAAAACAATATATCAAGGCTGTATCTAAAATATTGTATTTTCATATTTTTATTAAAGTTACAAAGATCAAGGATTGAGAAAAACTACAAGTTTTTGAAGTTTGAGACTAAATGTTTTCAGTCTCCAACATTATTCAATAGTTTATCTAATAACAATATAAGGGCAACTATTTTCCTTTCTATACTTAGCTAACTTTGGAATATTTTTCAATTCAATTTAGCTTCAATAAGTGTTACAAATTTGATAAGAAAATAGAAATATCCTAACTCTAAGAGATTTTTAAGTTTTATTTTGTTTGTGTCCTTTTGAGACAAGGTCTGGCCTGGAACTCTCTATATACACCAGGCTGGCCTAAATCACACAGAAATTCTCCTGCCTCTGCCTCCTAAGTGCTGGGATTAAAAACTCTCAGTCCTCTAAATGAATTAAAAAAAACAATACCCAAAGAATACAAATAGGCAATTCTTATTAAATAAAAACAGAATAATTAGCTAGTGTTTTGATTTCTTTCTAACTGAAAATGAAATAACAGAGAAGGAAGAATAACATCAAAAACAGTAACTTACAATTCTTTGATCCATAGCTCCGCATGGAAGAAATTAGAACTATGGGTAGAAAAAGAAAAGCAAGCAGAAGCCTTATGAGAATATTCAAGCATTTTCCCAGCAAAAAGAACCACTTAAATAGTTTATAACAGTACTTCATAATTACAGGGTAAAAGCTATCTAACTGACACAGAATAATTGTAACTGAGAACAGCAGAACACAAGTCATCTGCATACATACTGGTTAAAAGATGACCGAAGCTCAGCAGGGAAATAAGGTCAGAAGGCCTTCTAGTTACATGAGAGACAATTACTACTCCAAATGGTTCAAGCTGACAGAATTATTAATGATTTAATGAAATTTTTGCATTCTTGGATTTCTTGGTCTGAGTCAAAACATGTAATCAAATGAAGGTAAATAGTGAAAATCTCCACCCACAAAATATTCCATAGCAGACTGGCTAAGGAGCCAAAACAGAAAATAAGCCACACAGCAAACCAGTTCCATTTCAAAGATGAGACAATTCCATTCCACATGGTCTTGTGGACAACCCAGTGAGTGATGCTGGGTAGAGCCGCAGGGTTGGTAACTGTCCCCATGGCTTCTTTTTTACTTCTTTATCTGCTTGAAAACCCTTAAGAGCTCTACCACAGAAACTAATGGAAGAAGAATGAACACTTTTCCAAAGGAAAACTTTGAACTACACAGAACAAGAAAATAGAGTATCAAATTGAGAGTTGAGACTTGGATCTCCTGGAGCTGCCTCCACTTAGTTTTACGATTCTGAGCTAGCTATTTCACTTCTCTGTGCTCTCGTTTCATTATGTGCAAAACACAGTGTGATGAGGGTCTGTCTCTGTTCCCAGTCATCCCCAGGCTGTGACCTGGCAATGAAAATGCTGTGCTGCCCCCTCACTGTCAGTAATCATTAGGGTTAATAAGGGCCAGTCACTTTTGGCACAATAAGCACCTGATATAACAACCAAGTCAGAAATCATTAGTAGCACTAATGATTTGTATGTGATACAAAAAAAAAACAATCAACATGAGAAGATGTAAAAAGAATCACCTAGAGTTTTATAATGACAGATCTGAATTGAATTTGTTGGCACTCCTTATTAAAATAAAAATTTGATGAGAATAGAGATTTTTGTCTATTTGTAAACTACTGTATCCTCTTCAGAACAGTGTCCAGCACAGAGCAAACACTCAGTATTTGTTGAATAAATGAATAATGTAGGGGGCAAGTACTTCTCTTTTGTGGATGGAGGTATCGAGCTGATGACTCAGAAGGACAATTCTAAGGGAAATTTGCTTTTCTTAATACACTAGGCAGTATTTCTTATAAAATGGAGGCATAGAGTAATAATAGCTACAAATATAGGTGAACAATTGTTCTTAGTGCTCTAGATGAAAAACTGCTTTAGCTGTTTTTACATATTGTTAAGCCTCATGAATATCTCCCTATCAGTTAATCCTCAATATATAACATGGAATTATTACTCATACTATACAGAAAAACAAACAAAAAACAAACCCTGAGGTTTAGAAGGAGAATGTCTTAAAAGAGCCAGGATTAGAAATCTTCTTTGTCCAATTTCAAAGATTATGTTTTTTCTTCTAGTGTCAAAATGTCCTTCAGTATACATTAAACAACAATGGAGAAAAATGAGGATTTGGGCTACTCAAGAGAGCATTTCAGGATCTCTAGGAAGTTCATTTACTTAGCAGATTTATTTACTAAGCACCCATCACATGTGAGGTACTAAGATTAGCACTGAGTGGTTAAGTGTGAAGATATTGGTAACAAACAAGATACAGGGAGGAATGGAACGCTAATATTAACTGGGGAAATCAGAGAAACCATCTAGAAAAAAAAAATCTCAATCAGATTTTGAAAAGCCAGGTAAAAGTTAATCAATGCACAAGAAAAGAAAGGGGGTTCAGACAGAGCAATCGGGATCGTGGAATATACATACAAAATGGCATGCCACATTCTGGGAAAATGGGGCAACCTTCATTGTGGGAAATGAACTGAGAGGCAGTGACAGGAAACTAAGAATAGAAAGCCAATCAACCGAATCCTGGAACAGCCGGCTCTAACCCTAACTAAGAGCATTATTCAGTCTGCCTTGCCCTAGCTCATTTCCCCAGCTAGCTCACCCTTCAAGTCGTCACTAGGAGAGATCCTCCAACAAGGAAAGGCAGACTTAGTAAAGAACCACTGAGAAACTGAGAGTGCGTACCGTCTTCTAAAAGGACACTGACTTTTTTACACTTCATGGGAAACACTTCAATAAGTACTTTACTATACATTATGCTTTTTTTGTTAGTTTGTTTTATTTTTTGAGACAGGATGTCATGTAGCCCAGGCTGGGTTCAAACTCATTATGTAGTTGAGGATGACTTCATCTTCCCACCTCCATCTCCTATAAGTGCTGGGACTATAGGTGCACACCATCACACCCAACTGTACTATAATTACTCTTCACATAGTTCACTGGCATTATATTGATGAGTGAGATTCAGAAGAATAACTACTTCAAGTTGCATGAAGACTGCAAAAGTCAAGACCGGAAGCCAGATGTGACTTTAAAAAGCACACAAGAAATAAAGAATTCAAAGTCTAGAGTCTCCCTGAGAGATGTCACAAAGAGAATTTTAAAAGAATACCTAAAGCCTTGAATGAATATGGGAGTTGCAAAGTAGTGGAACTGAGATAAGACAGAATATTCAATGATCTGGAATCTTCTCAATGGAAAACTGATACGACCATCATCCTAGTAGTTCAATTGCCAAGGCTATATATGATAATGACATAGCAATCTAAGTAGTATTGAATTACAGAGGATGAAGTGCTTGATACCCTCAAGAGAAGTAAAGTTCTAAACAGAAGATCACATTTGAGTTGAGACCTAGACTACTGTCAGACAAGCTAGAGAGGACATTAAAGACAAAAGAAACACCGAATGTGAAGGAAAAAAGCATAACACATTTACAAACTAAGAACAGTCTAGCATATCAAAACATGAAAGAATCTCATATTTCCATAAGGGTTCTCTGATGTCCACTTGATGGGAGACCTGCTCTGACCACCCTACATAAACACACCTGTAACATATAATTTCCCTTTACTTTACTTCACAGCACTTATAAGCACTACTCCTTCCTCACTACTTGTTCCTCACCACTCTCAATTCTTTATTCCGTATCAAATGAAATGAGGCTCCTTGACAACAGGGACTCGATTCATTGCAGATACCTTCATGTCTATACCCGTACTTGACACAGAAGACTCTTAATACAAACTTGCTAAAGAAATGTGCAGTGGAATGTAGACTTGTGAGGAACTCCTTTCCTTCCTTTATCTATTAAGAGATCCTTGAAGGAGTTTAATACATGATTAAATTTCTTTAGTGATCAGGTAAGAATTTCAGAATCATCACTGGCTGCAGCACAGTATGGTGACCGACATAATGAAGAGCAGCAAAATGAAGACGAATAGGAAGTCTCTGAAGTAATAGAAAAATACATGAGAGAGTCTGAACTGAGACAGTTTTGTACTATGTGACTTTTAGTGAAGAAACTATAATTAAAGGAACACAACTGAGTCTTTCCCTAATTTACCTGGGAGTTGGAGTCTGAGATTCTTTCACTTTGAGTAAAATCACAGAGTCTGATCCTAAAAAAAGAAACACAAGAGCATTTTATTATTAATAAAATTCCACCAAGTTCTATTACCTATTTCAGTTTAAGTTTCTAAACTTTTGTTATATTCTATTGCTACAAAAACAATATAAGCATAGGACAAATAATAGCACAAGGGCAAAGACAGATGGAGAAGAAAAGCAGGTCTACTTCCACTGAGAGGAGCTCTCCTCACACCATCAGGCCACCACTTGGAGATACAGCGTATTTGCCCTTCAGCATCTACCCCTAGGCTGTGCTTGCTCCCTCTGCTGCTGCTTCTGCCTCTTGGCAATAAGAACATGCCAAAATCTTAAAGGCCTTGAGTTCATGATGTATCATGAAACTAAATTAGGTGAGGGGAGAAAAGGAAAGGGAAGAAGAGGGAAGAGAGAGAGGAGTAGAATTTATAGGAAGAGTCAAAAAGCAGAAATTTATCACCCCCCCATCCTCCGTGTTAACTGCTCATCAAGGGCAAGAATCATGTCTTTCTAAAGTACCAAGATTAGAACTTCATTTAGAACATTCATAATGGTACAAGGAAACTGAACAGTCAATGTGTGGCTTGTTCTAGTCTAGCTACTTCACTATCTGCTACAGTGTATACTTCTGAGGTTAGAGGATTTTTTTTATTTTAGATTTTTGAAAAAAAATGGTAGTTCTTAGTAAATCACTTCATAAAATGTAATACAAAATTTCAAACATTCTGTCAAAACATTCTGAATGTCTTAACCACTTAGCCTAAAACTTGTTTTACATATATACCTACATACATACTAAAGCATGAGGATAGCTGTTTTACATACATACCTACATACGCACTAAAGCATGAGGATAGCTGTTTTACATACATACCTACATACGCACTAAAGCATGAGGATAGCTGTTTTACATACATACCTACATACGCACTAAAGCATGAGGATAGCTGTTTTACAACAAATGCGCAGACTGGACATTTTAGCTGTTGGAAAGCTGAGTAGGAAGACTCTCCTTGTTTCTAAAACTTAGTCATAACCATTCTAAAATGGATAAAGCTTCTATAAAGGTTAAGTATTATATGGTAAATACTTGTTTGATGTTTGAAAATTCCTAGAACTTCAGAGAACATTACTTGAACTGTAAAGTAAGATAAGGAGAAATCACTGAAGCAATTGGACCGAGTGTGCTTTGACTCTGGGCTCTGCTCAGGAAGTTAAAATATCTGGCCTGGCATGGTGGTACATGCTTGTAATCCCAGCTCTCTGGAGGCTGAGGTACGAGGATTGCCACAAGTTTGAGGACCGTCTGGACAACATATCAAGTGCCAAGCAGCCAGGGACACATGGTAAGATCCTTTTTCAAAAGTTAAATAAATATTATATCAAATCATTTGTATGTAGGAAAAAAGTTCTAAAAAAAAAAAAAAAAGGAGGGAGGGACGAAGGGATGATGGAGGTGGGAGAAAGAACAGAAAGAGGTTTAGTTTCGTCATGGCATAGTTACCTGAATTGTATGTCTTTAATTAAAATCTCTTATATATTAGGTTATATGTGTATTTTAATTTTGCCTGCCATAGCTTCAAAAACAGTTAACTAGCTGTTAGTATCATTTACCTTCAGACTGTGTATTTGATGCTGGTAAGTTATCTGGCTGATGGGGACTAGAGAGGTGACGGTGGGGTTGATGGCAAGCATCAGAATCTTTGGATCCAAATGCAACATCAGGGGTGTAAGACGATAGAGAATAAGCACTGTGAGACAACCGTTCCTGTGTAGTTAAAATGCTGGCAGATCCAGATGATGAAGTATCAGAGCCAATGATATGAGATGCACAAGAGGTCCCATTTTTGAACAGTGAGTCTTTCAAAGAATTCTTATTGGAACTAAGACATCGAGACCTAGTAAGAGAAGGATATACAGTCTTAATACCAAATAACTGTAAAATTAAATTCATATGAAAGATACTTTTTGTGTGACTCACAGGTGTAAAGGAAAATGTGTGGTGGGCTTGGCTACAGAGAACTGTTTCCCTGTGACCATCTGTAGCAGCTGTCTGTAGATCTCTTTTTCTTCTTCTTGAACTGTCTATGAGAGAGAGAGAAAAAGATCTTGATCACATCCAATGAGGCAACTATTTCTCAAATTAGCATCTAGATGGGATCTCAGAATCTCTGCCAAAGCATAGCAGTCCTGAAGATAAAGAAATATTGTACACTGAGAATATTATAGAATTATTGTGTGTAAGAGCAGTTGAGGAAACTTATATCTTGGAGATGACATGCTTTGGAAAATCTGGTATCAGTGCAGAGAAGTTATAGGACATGAAACCAGAAGGCCAGAAAGCAATTATTTAACCACCCAAATGATAGTGAGTCTGAGAAATAAAACACTTGAAGACTACTAAATTAGAATCCTGACCAAACTGTTGAGTCCTGATGCCTATTATAAAGATCCCAAGGAGGTAACCTAAATGGTCAAGCTCCATTAGGGGAAGGTATCTTGCCAACAGCTTCCTATTCTATCCAGGTATAGGAGTTTCCCAGAGACGGTTTCCCGATGTCTAACACTTATTAGTTATTTTTCTGTAAGTCTTAAAACTATGCTTGGGAAAAATCACACTCTATAACATTCACTCATTGATTTGAACATCTACTATGTTCTGGTCACCTGGGATACAGCACTGAATGAGATAAATATCTAGCCTTTGTGGAGTTTATGTTACAGTTATCACAGGGGCCATCAATCAAGGCTTGTTTGTGGCATGAAGAAAATTAACAGGGCAAGGGACTATAAAGCAATGAAGGGGAAACAGTAGAAACCTAAACTATGGGAGGAAGAAAGCCTTGAAAATATGAGGGTATTCCAGATAAAGCCCTGAGATAGGAATGTGCTTGATATATTCAGCAAGTTTGTAAGATGAGTGCCAAGGAAGAGTAGAAAATGAGGTCACAGAGAGAAAACAGATTAAGTAAGGACTTATAATCCTTGTAAAGCATCTATCCTATGTAGAAGCAATGTTATGTTCACCAAGTAACAGTATTTTAAATCTCATATTATTTTTCAATCTCATATTCTTCTTCACAAAATGGAATTCCAAACGAAGTGTTAGTGTTAGCAACATCTTAACGCTGTAATTTAAATATGTACATCAGCATTTTATTCAATAACAAATATGTATTAAAAGCAGAATGAGGGTCTGGAGAAATGGCTCAGTGCTTAAAAGCACTGGCTGTTCTTACAAAGGACCCAGATATGATTCCCAGCACCCACATGGTAGTTAACAACCACCTGTAACTCTAGTTCCATGGGAATTCAACACCCTCTTCTGACCTCCGCAGGCACTGCATGACACGGGCGCATGTACACACATGTAGGTAATAAACTCATACACATAAAATAACATAATTGTTAAAAAATATATTATTTATTATTTTTATGTGTATGAGTGTATTGCCTGCATGTATGTATATGTTTCCCATTTCATTTCTAAGAAAATATAAACATGCCCATGCTTTTATAAGCATGAAAATTTGCTAGGATTCAGAAAATGATCATTGGTAATATTTTGAAACAAAGGTTATTGTTTTACTGCTTTTTTTTTTTTTAATTGTTTTTATTTTTTGTGTTTGAGTGTATTTGCCTGCATGTGTCTAATACACCCATGTTGTGCAATGCCTGAGAGGTTAGAAGAGGGGATCGAATCCCCTTGAACAGGAGTTATGGAAGGTTGTTACTGTCATGTGGATGCTGGGAATCGAACCCAGGTCCTCTGTAAGAGCAGTCAGTGCTCTTACCTGCTGAGCCATCTCTCCAGCCCCTATTATTTTTATTTTATGTGTATGAGTGTATTGCCTTCATGTATCTGTGTGCACCCATGTCATGCAATGCTGCAGAGGTCAGAAGAGGGCGTCAGATTCCCCTGGAACTGGAGTTAAGGACAGTTCACAGTCACCATGTGGGTGCTGGGAATTGAACCCAGGTCCTCTGCAAGAGTAGTCAGTGCTCTAAACTGCGGAGCCATCTCTCCAGCCCCTAACTGTACCATTTATTAAAGATGTAAGCAAATCTGCACACAGATGTATGTGCTTGTTATAAAGAATTCACTCCTGGCTGATTATCTGATACTGCAGTACATATATCATCTTCAACGTTTCTCATAAATACACAGTACAAAATGGCAGAAGTACAGTGAGGGCCATTCCAGAAATTGTTGGAAATTCTGTTTTAATCCCAAGTAAACATTAATTTAATGATTTTTTTTAAATGAAACTCAAGCCAGCAACCCAAATAACAAATTTTAAAGTGAAGCATTCTAATTACTACATCCAAAGGTGATACTTACATGCTGAAGAATGACAGAAAAATATTAAAGTCTTTGTTTTCCATAATTAAACCCCTCTTTCCTGTTTCTTCTTTCCTTTAATCTTGCATCTTCCTTTTTTCCTTTCCTGGACTCCTTTGTTTCATTATTTTTTATTACCCTTACCTTTATTAATTAAAAAAAAAAAATTCTTACTGTTATTTTTATTTTATGTGTGAGTGTTATGCCTGCATGGAGATAGGTACACCCGTATCATGCAATGCACGTGGAGGTCAGGAGAGGGTGTTGGATCCCCCGGAACTGGCATTTTGGATGGTTGTTAGCTGCCATGTGGGTGCTAGGAACCAAACCCGGGTCCTCTGCAAGAGCAGCCAGTGCCCTTAACTGCTGAGCCATCTCTCCACCCTCTTACATTTATTAATTTTTAAGTTCACAGCATATTCTACATTATTTTTGTCTCTTTGTGGTCTAGTAGTTGTCCTTAATTTTTTTTAATGTGAGGTTTGCATTTGTGTTGTTGCTGTTACTACATTTTGATTTTTCCTTTCTGAATGACATTGGGGATTATACTCTTCAGAAAAGGCTGCTCACTGAGACCCCCAAATAAAACCATAAAAGATATCCTGAGGCTAAAGCTCTTGCCATGCAAGCATGAGGGCCAGAGTTTGGATCTCCAGTGACCACTGACTGCTGGCTGGATATGGCAGACCATCTGTAACTTCAGTACTCAGAAGATGGGAACAGGATCTTTAGAACAAGGTGGCTAGCTAGACTGCCTATATGGGAGAGCTCTGAGTTCAGTGAGAGACCCTGCCCCAATGAATAAGGTGGACAGCCATCAAGAAAACTCCTGACCACTACATGGGCCTCTGAATGAATGCACACATATATTATGCCCCTAAACAAGTGAATACACTTACACACATGCAAAGAAAAAAAGATACTCATCTCAATGGATACACAAATCACAACACAGAAACAAGAAATCTGAAACAGCAAGGCAGTTCGACTCCTCCAAAAATGTGTTATTCTTCAATAGCCGAATCCAAAGATACTGAAATGACTGAAGTACAAGACAAAATTTAAAAGTCTAGGCTAAAGAATAATGTGTTAGTTACTTTTCTTGTCACAGTGACAGAATACTTCACAAAAAAACATAGGAAGAACCAATTATGGTTCACAGCTGAGGGGATACGGTCCACCCTGGCAAGGCAGGCACGGTGGCTGGCCAATGTGGCTCAGGGTTGTTAGCCATGGGCGTATGAAGCAGCTGGTTACCTTGTGCTGGCAGTCAGGAAGCAGAGTGCTCTAGTCATAGGGAGGGCTTGTCTATAACCCTCAAGCCCTATACAATGGCCTCCCCATCTGCCAGTTAGGCCCCATGTCCAAAAGGTTCCACTGCTCCCAAAACAATGCCACCAGAGAGGGACTAAGTGTTCAAACACATGAGCCTGTGGGGAACACTTCACACTCAAACCATACCAATTAGTGACCAGAAATAGAATTTAAATAAACAGTCAGATGAAGTAAAGAAGTCAGCTGAAGACTTAGAGGATCTATTGACAACTGATGAACCCTTGGAGAGGGAGGTCAGTTTTCCTTACTGTTGTAAAGCCTGGTTGGCTGACCAGACTTCAGGACAGGGACCCATACCCAGGAGCACTTGGGAGGCATGGATTGGAATCCATAGGCCTTTAAAAAACATAAAATAGGCTGGAGCAGGCAGAGGAAAGAATATCAAGGATGAACTATCACAGCTAGATAGCAATGAAGAAAGGGAAGGGGGGGAGGGGGGACCATGTCCAGAATACTCAAGACCTCTGGGGCAAGAGTAAGAGATAAAACTTAAAAATCTGTGGTGCAGAAGTTTAACAACAGTCTAAAGGCATAGGAAACCACTTAATTACAGAAGGAAATTTCCAAATCTAGGGAAAATAGGATAGCCAAGTATAAGAGGTATTGGGAGTCCCAAATCGATATGATCAGAACCAGAAAAGAATTTCTTCATATTGTATTATAGAGAAAAAGCGAAGAGCCCTACTGAAAGTTGCAAAAGAGAAATACTAAGTTACTTACAAAGTCAAATGTATCAGAATAACAGCAGACAACTCAGCAGAAGCTTAAAGTCCCTGAGAAAATAGATTGATGTTCTTAAGGCCTGACAGAAAAGAACTGCCAACAAGATTATTATACTCAGCAGTTACCCTTTAAAATCAAAGGAGAAATAAGGACCTTGTACACTAAGCATAAACTAAAGCAATTCATAACGTACAAGGTCCTTAAACAAACAGTTCTGGGAAAACTACATATTCACATGTAGAAGACTGAAACTAGATCCTTATCTCTTACCCTGCACAAAAAAATAAAAAATAGATCAAGGACCTTAAAGACCTTAATATAAGACCTAACATTTTGAAACTACCAGAAGAAAATTTAGAGTTCAAAAATACTGGGCAGGAACTGTGACTCCAGTGGTACTGTGACTCAGTGGTACAGCACCTGGACAGCTTGTTTAAAGCCTCAGTTTGGTTTTCAGGACTATGAAAATGTTTTTTTTTTTTAAAAAAAAAGAGATCCCAAAGAATAAATAATCCAATTATGAAATGGACAAATGAACTGAAGGTAGTTCTCAAAAGAAGTATGAATAATAAATATATAAAATGTTCAACAGCTTCAGTCATCAGACAAATGCAAATCAAAACTACACTGAGATTCTATCTCACCCCAGTTAGGATGGCAATCATCAAGAAAGCAAGCAACAAAT